GAGTTCTAGTTTCATCTTAGGCATGAAAGGCGCCTAGTGGACTTTGGACCGATCACCAGGAGACAGTGAGTTCTAGTTCTGCCTTAGGCACGAAAGCCCCCTCTCCCACATTAGATTGTTGATGTGGGGAAAATAGGTAGAACCAGGAGCGTTGGTATGTCTGTCACCTGGAGTTCTTTACCAAAAAATAATAAAGAGGGGTTAAAAATAAATATGAATAATAAAATTAAAAGGGAACCTTCACGTCTGCCCGGGGCCACTCACCTTGGGCATAATCACTGCCACGTCCACGTTCACGTCCGGCTTGATGCAGGTGCCAAGCAGGTAACTCCCTACCACGTTCACCTCTACTGGGGGCAGAAAGTGGAACTTCCCTTTCACCTTGAAAGGAAGCTGCAGGATAGGGACTTTCACTCCTGTGGGGAGCCAGGACTGGTCAGTGATCTGAAAAAAAAAACAAAAATGTAGAATTCACCTGTCAGGATTCCAGCATTCACCCCCATTTAAATCATGAGTCTCGAGCCAAACTTCAAAAGGATTTATTGGGAGTTAACATGCCAGCACTGCCTGGGTACAGCCGACTCTGAGACACATCATTCACTGTCACCCTCGACCCTGGTTTTCCTCCACACCCTGGGTGTATTGTAATTCATATTCTCCAATGGGACACCTCCATAGCCCAGAGTCATCAATCAGGCTCTCCAGTTAGATACTTGCGGGGCAGAAACTTCAGTCGCCTAGTTACTATCTTTGAAAAACTATTTATGGAATGCACTTTCGATTTCCAAGCTGCCGCACTGCTCCCCGCTCCCTTTCTGTGGGCAAACTCTAAAAAGACCAGAGAAATGTTTTAGGAGTTGACACCACCCTTTTATCCTTGAATCAGGACCAGGCTGAGGTTCTGTGGGAGAGGTCCCAGGTGGTCCCAACAGAAGAATCCCCAAAAATACAGGTAATCCTTGACGTAACAACCACAATTCAGCCACAAATCTCTGCTGGTCTTGAGGAGCTTCCATTCATTGCTTCTTATCCTGCCTCTCAGGTGCCTTGGGAGGAGAGGTTGACCCCCTTCTTCTCTGTGAAAACCCCTCAGGAAGCAGAAGATACTTATCGTGCCCCCCAAATCCTTCTCTTCGATAGACTAGTTCCCTCAAACATCCGTGATATGATTTAACCTCCCCCCCACAACCATCTTGGTTGCTGTTCTCTGCACTCTTTCCAGGATCTCATCATCTCAGTAAAACATGGCAGCTGTCCCTATTCCTTATTTTCTGGAGACATTGGTCTCTAGATCCGAGTGTTGCTCTTAGGAACCCCTTTGTCAAGATTGAAAAAATGCTGAAGCTTCCTGTGACTTATTATTGAAAAACCAAAAGGACACATATAGACTGGTAGAAACCAGGCTCAATAGCAGGAACTGGGAGAGGGATCTTGGAGTCTTAGTGGACAACCAGCTAAATAGGAGCCAGCCGTGTGCAGCAGCAGCCAAAAATGCTAATGCAATCCTAAATTACATTAACAGAGGGATACAATCGAGATCAAGGGAGGTACTAACACCACTCTATAAAGCCTTAGTAAGGCCACACCTAGAGTACTGCATCCAGTTTTGTTCACCACATTATAAAAAAGATGTTGAAACTCTAGAAAAAGTACAGAGAAGAGCAACCAGAATGATTAGGGGACTGGAGACTAAAACACATGAAGAACGGTTGCAGGAACTGGGCCTGGCTAGTCTAGGGAAGAGAAGGACCAGGTGAGACATGATAGCGGTCTTCCAATATTTGAGGGGCTGCCCCAGAGAGGAGGAGGAAGGGGGTTCAAGCTATTCTTCAAGGCACCCAAAGGCCGGAGAAGGAATAATGGTTGGAAACTGAACAAGGATTCAACCTGGAAATAAGGAGAAACTTTCTGACAGTGAGAACAATCAACCTATGGAACAAAAAGTTGCCCTCGGAAGTTGTGGGAGCGCCATCACTTGAGACTTTCAAGAAGAGATTGGACTGCCATTTGTCAGAAATGGTGTAGGGTCTCCTGCTTGGGCAGGGGGTTGGGCTAGATGGCCGACAAGGTCCCTTCCAACTCTGATTATCTGTTATTCCTTTTCAACTTTTCAATCTGACCCGTCCCCTCAGAACCTGAATCTGTGGAGGACAAGCCGATGGGAGATCGAGGGACGGGTGGCTTCATCGGCTTTGGAGGAATGTGGGGAGGAGCAGGCCGAGGCAGCCCAGGGCCCCTCAGGATTGGGACGGCTTGTTAGCGGGGAAGAACGGGGGGCAGGATGACCAAGAGAGGGCAAGCAGAGGAAATGAGGAGCGACAGCACTCTCAGGCGATGAGCAAGGGCTGCCCCCTCCTGATCCCTGAGCACAGAGAGTGGAGAGAAGGCGGGAACAGCGCAGGTTGACCCAACAACTTGGAACGAGAGCGCCCCACCCCTCTTCACACCTGGGGACCAAGATTTAAAGAGATGATGTGGGGACGGGTGCTTGTCAGGAACATACGCTGAGTTGGTAGAGTTTGGTGTGCCAGTACTGACATTTGGGAGTTGCTTCTTGTTAGGAATGATACTCACCTAACAGTTGGGTTGGCAATATATAAACCAGGATAGTTATTTAATACTGTTATTTCTTTAAGAGAAGGCTGTAATTGTGATTGGCTGAGGTTCTTCCAACGGCCATAAGATGGAGCCAGAAACCTGGTTTGTTCTTCTTGCATTTCCTGTTTTGCCTGATCATCGTTCTGCTTGGATTGCTGTGAGTCTTGCAACTGTTAGCAAACTCCGTTTATTGAACTTTATGATACTTGACTTCGTTTTTGGATTATCCCTGGACTGATACTAACTGCTTTAACCATGTATGATTTGGACTGTTTGTTGGACTTTGTTTACTCATTTACTGGAAGTAAAACCTACATTTTACTATTCAGTGTATCTGTATGCTGGTTCCTTACCACTCTCACTACGTTTCCCTGAGTGCACTCATTCTCCTAACGGGGAATATCTCAACACTTCTTCCTTCCTTCGTGGACTCAGAGCCTTCTTCCTGACTTTGCGGACTCATTGTTTGCTCCTTGGTTTGTGGACTCATTTCCCTGTTCCTTTGCTTTGCTGGACTGGGCGCAGCCATAGGCTGCCGTGTGTGTGTGTGTGTGTGTGTGCACATTTTGCTCTGGGATTTGCCAATAATGTGAGGGTGTTTGGGGGGAAATTTGAAGCCTTAAATGGAAGTTTGGACTCTCAGCTGGCTGTGTGACCTTTGCGCTTTCTCCTGTGTCATTACAGCAGTCGGGGAAAATTTAGAGGTGGTTTTGCTTTCTTCTGTGCCAGAATGATGTATTCCATAACTATTTGCTTTTAGGATTTTAACGCTCCTGAAGATGTTTGCTTTTATGGGCTGTTAGTAGGACAGTTGATACCCTTGGCTGTGCAGGGAAGCGATCCTGAGGGATCCCAAATCTGGAAATCCACAAAAAAAACAAAAACCAAGGAACAAGAGCGAGAGTTGATAAAGGCTGCGACGTTAAACCCACTTCCCAGAAAGGAAGATCTATGGAGTACAGTAGCTTCCTAAGAAACAAGTCTCAAGACGTCCCAAAGGTGTTTTTTGTTTGTTTTTTTCAAAAAGCAACTGGACTTTCTTGGGTTTTTTTTCCCACCCCTTGAAAACGTTTCGCTTTCTGTTCAGGAGGCTTCTTCGGTTCTGACTGAAGAGCTCAAAGTCAGAACCAGAGAAACTTCTTGGATGAGAAGTGAAATGTTCTCAAGGGGAAAAAATTAAGAAAGTCTAGTTGCATTTTGGAAAAGCACCTTTGGGACAAACTGTGACACAGATGACTGAGAACCTCCGTAGATATACCAAAAGTGATTTTTTTTCAAGAGGCAACTGAATTTTCTGGGTTTTCCTTGAAGGCTTTTCGCTTCTTATCCAAGACGCTTCTTCAGTTTGGACCGAAGAGCTGAAAAGTCACGAGTGGAAGAAGCGTCTTGGATGAGAAGTGAAATGTCTTCAAAGAAAAAAAAAACAGAAAGTCCAGTTGCCTCTTTGAAAAAGCACCTTTGGGACAACCAGGACCTGGATGACTGAGAACCTTCAAAGACGTATCTCAAGATGCTATCAACCCCACGGATCTGAAGCGTACATCTCTCGCCGGAACCTCTGGGACATTGTTAAGCAGGGTGCTGATTTCGTGAAGGAAGGCTTCGATTCTCTGCTTCCTCTTCTCCTTGAGGGTCACCTCTTTCAACAGTTCTTCGATCTGCAGAAGGAGAAAAAATGCAATAGATAGGGGGGGTCAGACTGTTGTAGCCCACCAGTGGCCAGCGGAGCTGGCGGCAGACTCGGACAGTGAGGAGGTTGGGGAGGAACATGGGCCAGTCCTGGAGTCTGGAGAAGGCTCCGACGAGGGCTCTGTGTCGAAGGCAGAGCGGGGGCCAGGGCCGTCTGACAGTTATCAGCTGCCTTTGGAGTCGGAGATCAGTGGGGAAGAAGAACAGCTGGAGCCTGTTCCCAGTGTACGCATGCACAGAGCTGCCAGGGGAAGGGAACCAATTAAGGAACAAGGGTCAACTCAGGAGTAAAGGCTCAGGTGGACGGTGAATGGCCCCTCCCATAGGGAATAAAGAGGAGCGAAAGGGGAATGGTTCTTGCAGGAGACAATTAGTTCAATTCATTAGGGTGAGGATCTATTCCTGACTTCTTGCCAAGTAATTGCTGCTACAGTGTGGCATTTGGAAGCTATCGGCTTGGCAACTCTCCAAGCTTGTTAAGGTCTGTCATTGTATAATCTCTTGAAAGACTGTTTGCTGGGACTTTGCTGGAGAGGAATTCCCTTTGACCTAAATAAAAGGGGTTTTATCGGGATGAGGAGTCGGCGTCATGATCAAAATGGGGGGGGGGTGTCAAAACGTTCCGGATCTTCCTTTTGTTATACGAATCACCCTTCTGGTTCCCCTGGCCAAATCTGTTTCACCCACCAAGCTTCGAAGCACAAGCAACACAAGAGTTACTCATAACTAACCACAGTGAGCAACTTCGTTGTCTTGACTTGACTCTCCCTTCCAATTTCCCAAGCTGATGTCTGCTTGAAAGCCATTTTTCTTTTTGAGGCTTCTGAGCTGCCACATTCAGTGCCTAGGGATTTGGGATCTCAGGGAGCGGTGGAAGATTAGCCACAACAACATTCCTTTCTCAGAAAGTCAAGGACATGTTACCCGGCACCTGGAGGGGAGTGGCTGGGGGTAGTACCTCCAGTTGGACCGAAGTGAGGATTGGACCATGCGATAGATGATTGGGTGCAGGGGTAGAATTTTGGGTTTTCTTTGGGTTAGGGAAAACCCAGAACTCTCTGATTCGGGTTTTCCCCAGATGTGCCAATATGACATTTTCTATTTTCTATCTATATATATAGATATAAAAGCAAAATACCCCTCACGCATCATCACAAAATCTCCAGAACCGTAAAGCCTACAAACTTGAAATTTGGCACATAGGTTCCTCTTGGCTTCTCGGGGCTCACTAAGAAAGGATTTTTCGAAATGACCATCACAGCATTCGTCTTATCCTATATAATACGCTCTGATGCTAAGGAGTTCTACTCCCCCTCCCCACCTGAAAAGAAATATCTTCCAAGTGCAAAACACAAGCAGAGGAATTTCAGTTCCAGAGCGCCAGCTTTAGTCCAGAACAGTTGAGCTAAGCCACACCCAGGCTCCTTGCTGTCTCCTTCTTGCTCACACAGCAAATACTCTTTCACTTTCCAAACAGCCCTCAACTCTCTCACACACTGACAGGACGCTAGACAGATGAATACCGATGAATGCTGGTTAGGCAGAGGCAGAGTTTCCCCCCCCCCTATTTTCCTCCCCAAAAACTAAGCCCGATCGCATAGCTGCGTAGCGAAGCTAGTCTTTAATAAAGTGGATCTTTGGGAAGACGATATTCTCGGAGTCTATTGCGTTGGAGGTTGGAACGCTGATAGCCGAACTGACCTGAAGGCGCAGAAGGTTGGAATGGAACAGGTTCTCGGTCTCCTTGAGATGGCTCAGCTCCTCGTTGGTGGGCACCTTGTACAGCTCACCTTTGCCCAATTTCACCGGCTTCAAGAGGCCTTCAGGCGAGGCAGCCCGTTTCTTTCCCTTCGCTTTCTCTTCCTTAGGGATGCCATTTTGTTTCTCTTCCTTCTCTGGATCTTTAGTTCCCTCATCGCTTTCAGGTAACATCTGCAGGTAACAGCAACACACACACAAAAAAAGAAAGGGAATTATTCACCCAAATAAGGATGCTGATTTTTGTCAATTTAACAATCCTGCTGCCTGGTCTGTTTTTTACACCGTGGTCACAAAAGAGGGAAGCCCCCTTCCTGTTTTCCATACCTGTTCTAGATTCATTTTTTTCCACCTTGGCTTTGTGGGTTTTTTTTTTTCCAACCTTAAAATTTTATGATTATTTTTATAAATATTTTATTTTATGCATTACTATTAAACCTCCTTTCCTTTCACCCATCCACTCCCACTTGGGACTGTAGGACTGTACGGCTTTGTCGCTTGTATCCTTACGATTTATATTGACTGTTTCCTAGTATGATTTGATTGCTTATTGTACCCTATGACTATCATTAAGTGTTGTACCTGATGATTCTTGACTCTTGAGGAGTGTATCTTTTCTTTTATGTACACTGAGAGTATTTACACCAAGACAAATTCCTTGTGTGTCCAATCATACTTGGCCAATAAAAGAATTCTATTCTATTCTATTCTATATTCTATTCTATTCTATTCTATCCTATTCTAATCTAATCTAATCTATATTCCAATATCCTATTTGACTGTTTCCTAGTATGATTCAATTGCTTATTGTACCCTATGACTATTATTAACTTGATTCTTGACTCTTGAGGAATGTATCTTTTCTTATATGTACACTGAGAGTATTTACACCAAGACAAATTCCTTGTGTTTCCAATCACACTTGGCCAAGAAAGAATAAAGAACTACACTAAAAAAGAGCAGGATATCAAACCGATACAGCCAGTCCTTGCCTTACAACCACAAGGGACCTCAACATCTATCTAAAGGTAAAGGTTCCCCTCGCATATATGTGCTTGTAGTTTCCAGCTCTAGGAGGCAAAGCCGAAGAGCTGGCGCTGTCCGAAGACGTCTCCATGGTCATATAGTCGGCCGAAGGCACACGGAATGCAGTTCCCTTCCCACCAAAGTGGTCCCTATTTTTCTACTTGCATTTTTTACATGCTTTCGGAACCGCTAGGTTGGCAGAAGCTGGGACAAATAACGGGAGCTCACTCTGTTACGCGGCACTGGGGATTCAAACCGCCGAACTGCTGACCTTTGTGATCGACTAGCTCAGTGTCTTAGCCCCCGAGCCACCGCGTCCCTTGTTTTTTCAACCTTACCAACTTTTAAAAGGTATAGACTTCAATTCCAAAATTCCCCAGGCAGCCAGTGCCTCTTTGAAGCCCAAGGACAGAATTAAAACAACTAATTCTCCTCCCTCACAAACTTTTAAACTGTATTTCGTATTTATTCCCCTCCTTCATGAGCTTTTAAGCCTTATTTATTTACTGTGTCTCCTTCTTTGTGAGTTTTTAAGCTTTTCTTTACTGTTAAGGTTTGTCCAGTTATTCATCTTTGAAAACTACGCTGCTCAAGAATTATACAGAGTCCTTAACTTACAGCCTTTGGTTTAGTGACCATTCAGAGTTACAACGGCCCAGAAAAAAAGGGACTTGTGACTAGTTTTCACGTTTAAGACTCTTGCAGCATCCCCAATAATGGTCACATGATCCAAACTCAGATGCTCGGGCACTAACTTGTATTTATGATGGTTGCAGTATCCAGGGAAGTCAATGGGGAACCTAGTTTTACTACGATTCGTTTAACAACTGCGGCAAGAAAGGTCATAAAATGGGGCAAAATAAAATTACCCATAAAACATATATAAATCATCATCATCATAAAATGGTGCAAAATTCACTTAACTGTCTCGCTTAGCAACAGAAATTTTTGGGCCCAATTGTGGTCGTAAGTCAGGCATTACCTGTAACTGCCCATTCTTTTTATACCATCCTTTAACTACTGCAATACTCTTTCTGTTTTCAGCCCCCAGTTAATTTTATTTATTTGTTTATTAAACTGCTTTGTCACCCATCTCCCATTCAAGGTGACTGTGGGGTGGCTTAAGATTAAGAGCAGAGGGTTGGACTAGAAGACCTCCAAGGTCCCTTCCACCTCTGCTGTCTATGAAGATTCTCAGTCATCCAAGTCATGGTTGTCCCAAAGGTGCATTTTTCAGGAGGCAACTGGACTTTCTTGTTTTTTCTTTGAAGATATTTTGCTTCTCATCCAAGAAGCTTCTTCAGCTCTGACAGGATGGTGGGGAATAGATTTTATATTCCTTGCAGACAGCTGGTCATTTGCATCCTTTTTAGAGAGTCGTTGAGGCCACTTGGAGGTTTTATCTGTGTCCTCAGGATCACCTGAGTGGTGCAAATGGTTCCTGTAGCCTGCCATTTTAGGGAAATCCATTCATACTCCCACACCATTCAAGGGAGTTCATCCCAAAGTGCACGGCTAAAAATCTATGAAGATTCTCCATCATTCAGGTCATGGTTGACCCAAAGGTGCTTTTTTCAAGAGGCAACTGGACAGTCTGATTTTTCTTAAGACATTTCACTTCTCATCTGAGAAGCTTCTTTAGCTCTGACTGGATGGTGGGGAAGGGAAGGATTTCTACTCCTTGCAGACAGCTAGTCATTTGCATCCTTTTAGAGGTTTGTCTGTGTCCTCAGAGTCACCTAAATATTGCTCCTGGTTCCTGTGGTCTGCAATTTTTTTTCCACTTGGAAATCCATTCTTACTCCCACACCATTGAAAGGGTGTTCATCCCAAATTGTATAGCTAAAAGTCTGTAGAGATTCTCAGTCATTCAGATCATGGTTGTCCCAAAGGGGCTTTTTTTTCACTAGGCAACTGGACTTTCTGTTTTTTTTTTTTCTTTTGAAGACATGTCGCTTCTCACCCAAGCTTCTTCAGCTCTTACTGGGATGGTGGGGAATGGAAGGATTTACACTCCTTGCAGACAAGACAGTTGGTCATTTGTTAAGGCCACCTGGAGATAAGAAGCCAAAGGTCTTCAAAGAAAAAGCAGAAAAGTCCAGTTGCCTCTTGAAAAAAAAAAAAAAGCACCTTTGGGACACCCAACGCAATAAACTTCAATAAATAAGATCCGTCCTTGGGTCTCGCTTGAATGAGAAGCCAGCAGGCACCCCAGGTTTGCAAGGAAGCAAAAGCCCCCTGAAACAAGGCAATGGATCCTGGTCCACCTGCAGCCAACCAAACTCCACAAAGCGGCTTTGGGCCCACCAACTCTACTCCGTCAAGCGGCTTGACTACCTGACACGAGCTGCTGCAAGAAACGGGAGGCAGCATCCATCAAAATAGATTTTGCAGGAAATATATTTGGGGTGGGGGTGGGTGGGGCGCGAGGAAAAAAGTTCGTTTCCTCCCCACCATCTCAAAATTAACTACACCCCCCCCCCAAAGTTGAGATGCTGGGATACATTCATCAAAATAACAGCATAATAAAAGGGACCTTCGAGGTCTTCTAGCCCAACCCTACAGTTCAACGGATCAAGCTCTGGTCAACTTGGGCCATGCCAGGCTATGGTTGCCTTCCACCATCACCACCACCCCGTCCCCACCCCACCCCCAAGCCCTGAAACAAAGCGAAGGGGAAGAGACTGCGAGTTGTAGCCCCGGACTACAACTCCCATCGTCTTTGACCCCCTCCCCCGGCCGTGGACGATGGGGGCTGTGGTCCCAAGAGGAGGCAGGCGAAGGTCCCCGGGATCCCCCCCCCTGACGGTATTGCTTCTCCCCAATCTTCCGTCCTCCCCACACCGCGCTCCGCTCAGCCGCAACCCACCTTCCGCCGACCCGCTGGAGCAGCCATGTGGGTGGAACTCGGCAAAAACCACGTGGAACCCGACAGCGGCGCACGGCTCTTACCGGCTTCCGGCTTCCAAGTTCGTCATTTCCGGGCTCCGATAGTCTTAGCGTCGTTGAGCCAACCCCCCCCCGCCCTTTCGGAGATTTGGTTGAGAGCGTGAAGGAAGTGTTGCCGGGACGACGGGACGTGATTGACGCGGTTGACCCTAGAATTAGGAAAAAGGAAAGAGGGGTTCAAGCTCGCCCTGTGTTTCTGGAGGAGGGACTTCCGAGCTCAGTTGGACCACTTCGCTGGTTTACAAGGTAGTCCTCGGCTTGCCACTTGCAACTCGTTTAGTGACCATTCGAAGTTACGACGACACTGGGGGAAAAAAATAACTTAGGGCCGTTTTTTTTCACACTGCATCCCTACACGTTGCAGCCTCCCCATGGTCAGGTGCTCAAAATTCAGGTGCTTGGCAGCTGACTCGTATTTATGACAGTTGCAGCATCCAGGGGTGGTGATGGTGGTTATGTGATCCCCTTTGGCGACCTTCTGCACAAGCAAACCCAATGGGGAAGCCGGATTCACTTAACGACTGTGTGACTATCCAAACAACTGCAATGATTCACTTAATCAGGAGTTCTACTCCCCCTCCCCACCTGAAAAGAAATCTCTTCCAAAGGCAAAACACAAGCAGAGGAGAGGAGTTTCAGTTTCAGTTTCAGAGCACCAAGCAGCTTTAGTACAGAACAGTTGAGCTAAGGCATACCCAGGCTCCTTGCTGTCTCCTTCTTGCTCACACAGCAAATACTGTTTCACTTTCCAAACAGCCCTCAACTCTCTCACACACTGACAGGACGCTAGCCAGAGGAATACCGATGGATGCTGGTTAGCAGAGGCAGAATTTTTCCTCCCTTATTTTCCTCCTGGGTATCCAGCTAGTACAAAATATAAATAAATATTGTAGAGCTTGATTTTCATTCCAGAAAACCAGCATCACCCCTTTATTGGTCTTACTACTAAATACCAGTTTCTCTGGTGTCCAGCAGATAGCGCCCTTGGCCTGCTCAGCTCAGTCTTGGTTTTGCTTTAAGCAGAATTGTTTTCAGAATTGTCCCCAGTATGTCAACGGATGATCTCTTACTCAATCTGTCCAGTGGTGGGATTCAAATTTTTTTACTACCAGTTCTGTAGGCGTGGCTGGTGGGTGTGGCTTGGTGGGTGGGCGTGGCTTGGTGGGTGGGCATGGCTTGGTGGGCGTGGCTGCAAAATCCTCATTCCCTCCCCACCCCACTAACCTGCTTTCCAGCTCTGTTCTCTGTGCAGGGCAACCAAAGGAGACCCAGCCGATCAGCTGGGACTCAATAGGAGGCAGAAAATAGACAGGGTTGGTGGGGCCAGTCAGGGTAGCTTTTGACTTACAACAGTTCATTTAGTGACAAAGTTACAATGGCACTGAAAAAAGTGACTTATGACCGTCTTTCACACTTATGACCATTGCAGCATCCCCGTGGTCACGTGATCAACATTCAGATGCTTAGCAACTGACTTACACTTATGACTGTTGAAGTGTCCCAGGATGATGGGATCTCCTTTTGCGACCTTCTGACAAGCTGTGATGACCAAGAGTGTAACACAAACATAACAAAATCCAAAATGTACATACATGTCCTTTAATGCCTCCAACTTGGCCCCACTGCTCAATAATTCTCAGTTGGAGATAAAACTTATTCAAAAATAGTCTTCAAAAGAAAGCAATACAGTCCGAACTTAACAAGAAGATAGAGGTGAAAAGAAAAACCAAACAAACTACAATGATGAAATTTCCACAACTGACCAGGATAAGTAATTACCAAATTCAAGGAGATAACAAGGCACAGTCTGTTGGAAGGATGCCAACCAAGATAACTTCAGCCCAAACTAAAACAAGCAACACTGTGCTGTAATCATCTCTTATATACTAGTCTCCCCAGCTGCAACCAATGAGGAGGATCATGGCCACTTCCTCTCTCATAAGCCAAGTTGTTGCCTTCTCCGTTACTCCCTGTGTGTCCTAGGATGCAGAGGGGATGGGCCTGCCTCATCCTCTGACTGCTCAGCCAGCCTCTGCCCTTCCCCAGCTTACTCCACAACCTCCGGAGCCACACCTCCACTCCCTGTCGCCTGTTCCTTCTCTCCCTCAGAGTCCGACTCTATCAAGGGCATGACACAAGCAAAGTCAATGGGGAAGCCAGATTCACTAAACAACCATGTTGCTAACAACTGCATTGATTCAACTGTGGCAAGAAAGGGCAAAACTCACTTAATGAATGTCACACTTAACATGAATGATGGGCTCAGTTGTAGTCATAACTCAAGGACTGCCTGTAGCTACCTGAAGTGATTTAACATCAGCGTCCCAAAGGAAATTTACATGGGAAAGGATTGTTTGCGTCCTTAAATTATTCTCAGGAAATCCAACCTCATCCTCACATTTTATTGTATTATATATACTCATAAAGATTTATTATCATTTTATTGTCACTTTATTATGAAACATTACATAGAAAGAATAAATAACAGCAAGAAAAAGAGATAAAAATGGAAGAAACAGGGAATTTAAGCTTGACCTAAAAATTAAAGTTTTTCTAATTTCTAAATTGTTTATGCTACTGTCGAGACTTGCCGTGGGACTGTCGCTGCGTTTTTCAATCTTGCCAACTTTATGTGGACTTTTAAACTCCCAGAATTCTCTTAGCCAGCACAGAATTCTGGGAGTTGCAGTCCTTAAAGTTACCAAGGTTGTGTTGGAAGTTAAAACCCACCCCTCTCTCCTAGGAAAATGAAATATTTTAGGATATATTAAAAAGGCAGAATATTTCCCCTAAAAAGAGTAGAAACTCAAAAGCAGAAACTCACCCCCCCCTTTGCTAATGGGCCATTACTCTGGCCTAGGCCAGCCTATTTTACATCACAAAGATCTACACCAGGTAGAGCTATAGGAATTGCTCAAAGCCCTTTCATTACATTATCAGCAAGGCTCATCAAAGCCTGGGACAGCCTACAGAATTGCCCCTGCATGGCCCCGTGGGAGTCTTACAACCAATCAGAATTACAAGCTCAAATTCAAATATCAACAGAGGGCATAAAACCCAGGCACTCTCAGCATCTCCTTCCTTCTTTCTTCACCCAAGGCATGTGATCCTGTCCACCATTAAACCATCTTTCCAAGCAGTCACCATTTTTCCAGTGTCTTTCTTCCCCACTTGGAATTGAACCCTGAAGGCTATTTCTCCCAACAGTTGAAAAACACTACTAGGTCATACTGTACTGGTCCGAAAAGCCTACTGAGCCATAACCAGGTTGCTCAACTTGGTTTACCATGGCTTGTATCTGTGATTGCATCAAAGCTTAGCCTAATGGTGGTTTACACATGATTTGGCCCAGTGCATTAATGTGATCCAAGTTATTTTTGAACCAGACCATAAACCCTGGTCGGTGGCAGAAGGAGTTGGCTTTTATTTCTCTCTCTCTCTGTGTATACATTTATGTATGTACACACACACATTATATATGTATGGATGTATTTTTATATATACATTATATATGCAAATGTATTATAAATATATGCGTGTTGTGTTATATAAATATATAACATAATACACACATATATAGAATGATCCATTGCCTACATTGGCATGTACAATTACATATTGTGACAATTATATAATTGATCCATTGCCTACATTTTATTGCACCTTTCATGGCAATTAATTTCCCACTTTCATTATTTGGAAATAACATCCAATAAATCAGCACTGAGGAAATGACTTCTTTTTCATTGAAAAGGGCATTTCAATCAATCCACCACCCCCATTCCAAAGGTTTAATGGTTCCGTCCATATAAGAGGAGCTAAAGGCCTCCCCGCCGCCAAAGACCTTGGACAACAACGGAACCAGCAACCAGCCAATCCCTGAAGAAGGCTGAGTACTTTTTAACAACCAGCGGCCAATGGCCGAACGCTCCCTTCCCTTTAGGGCGGGACCCATGAGAAGTAAGCTTAAGAGGCAACCAATGATGTAACGGTAGAGGGTGGGGCTAGGCTAAACATTGGACGAGAGAAAGAGAGAGGGATTCCCCTTAGGGAGTGACCCATGAGAATTAAGCTTAGGAGTCAACCAATGACATTACGCTGGAGGGCGGAGCTAGGAGAAAGAACGAGCGTGTGTTCCGCCCTGTCAATCAGAGCGCTGGTAAAAACCTTCCCAATAAAGCCGCCTCTGACGTCACCGGGGAGAGGCGTTGCCAAGTCCGCCTCTGACGTCACCGGAGGGGAAAGGCGTCGCGAGAGAGCCGCCTCTGCCCTCTGCGCGTGCGCGGGGAGGGCGGCCGGCCGGCCTGCGCCTCCTGCCCGAGGCAGGAAGGCGGAAGCGGGGGAAACGGAAGCAGCAAGGCGGGGCCTGCCGGGCGGAGCGTGCGCGTTCCCGTCAAGCGGGCGCGAGCGACGGAACCGAGCGAGCGGCGGTGGCGGCGCCGTCACAAAAGGAAGCGGCGGCGTCGAGGGGCCGAAAGCGGTGCGGCGGGGGAGGAGGGTTGCGCGGCGGCCTCGCTCGGTGGCGGAGGAGGCCGCGCTCGTCCCGCCTTTGCCCCTCCCCGCGGCGCCGGCGGGCTCGCCCCCCCCCCCCCTCCCCCCCTCCTCCCCGCACGGAGCAGGAGGATCGCGGCGGCGGCGGCGGCTGCTGCTGCGGCGGGCGGGCCGGGCGGCCTGGCCCGGCCTGGCCCGCCGCGGCCAGGCCCTGCCCGGCCTGAGCGGCGGCTCCCGTTTAGCCTCCTTCCTCTTCCTCGGTGGTCTCCGGGCCTTCGCCCTCGCCGCCCCCCGCCATGGCGCAGCAGCAGGTGAGCAGCTCCCAGAAGGCGCTGATGCTGGAGCTGAAGGGGCTGCAGGAGGAGCCGGTGGAGGGCTTCCGCATCACCTTGGTCGACGAGTCCGACCTGTACAACTGGGAGGTAGCCATCTTCGGGCCGCCCAACACGCTCTACGAGGGCGGCTACTTCAAGGTGAGGCCCCGCCCCCCCCGGGGGGGGGGACACACACACGC